TCAGGTTTCTTTTTAACGGCTCTTTCACCACCAATAAATACCTAATTCGATTGAGGTCAAAAAAATTGGGGTGTTTTTTTTCGTTCAAATTTGGCCACGGCTCTGAAAATAAAACTTTAAAAGAAACCTAATTTATTTTGGAGCAAAAACGGATGCAATCGATTTTTATGGTGACACCAAAGCATACTAAGCGACTCAAAATTTTTGAATGCTGTAAAACAATTAGGTTACAAGTAGAGGCACAGTAAAATTAATAATTTCCTTCTACAAACAAAAGAACAAAAACAAACAAAAAGAAACAGACAGTTAATCAAACAAACAAACAAACAAACAAGACTGCTCGTACATCAGGGCAAAGCCCTGAATATTCCGACTGCTCTTAATCCATATCGATCCGTTTTTGCGTTAAAAAAAATATTGAAAAATTTTCAATTTTGGACAAAATCAAAGATCAAGTGCGAAAATTTAAGTGTCAAAATTAATACGACCGATTAGCTTAGCTGGCCTCAATTTAATTTAAAACGATTCTGTTGTGCTGAACGATAACTCGTCACGCATAAATAGTTCGCGTTACGCTTTCAGCACAATATTCAAAGCGCGCATAACTTAGTCCAGAGCATGGCCAAATTGGTAATTTTCAAACTCTCAGAAGTTTGCAAAAAGTTATTGGAGGTAAAATTTCTTTTCAAATTTGATTTTAGGGAGTCGATATCTTCAATGGGGTAAAAAATTATTGTTAAAAACTATGATTTTTATCGAAGACAATTGACTGAATAAGAAAACCATACGATGCATCAATATTCCGTTTTCTTTGAAAGTCGGAAGAACAATCAAACAAACGAACAAACAAACTAACCAGCAAAACAAACAAAAAAAGAGAACAAGTAATTTTGAGTGTTTTTGAGTTATTTCTGTAAACTTAATATTCCTTGAAAAAATTGCTTATCGTACAATTTTCATATATGAAAATTGCATGGTAAGGATTTTTTGACCAGAAAAAAATCATAATTATAACGGTCAAAACCATCTCAATCTACTAAACTATTAAAGTTTTGCTGAAAAAAGTTTTTGTGTGATTTCAAAAAATTTACTTTTTCCATGAAAAAAATGCTTATCATGAAACTTCCAAACATAAAAAAATTGTATGATACGCATTTTTTCATTTAGAAAAATCAGTCTTTAATCATTAATAGAACTTTTGTATGAAAATTATATGACAAGCATTTTTTTCTTAGAGGCCATATATGATATTGTATGATAAGTATTTCTTTTGTATGGACGTCAACCCGGGCAGACAAACAAACAAAACAAATAAACAAACACATACACACACGCTTATTCAAAATCACAGATTTCTTTTCCAAAAGTTTCAAAAGGTGAAGATATTTCTACTTTTCTTTGTTATTTACGTTGCCCCAACATTACGTTTGGATGTTGATTTGGTCTGTTGTAACTAATGGGAATTTAATGGGAGTCTAGTAAGAAAGATGCGAAGCAAGCGAGTCTGTTCTAGCTTACAATAATTTCAACGCTAGGTTTAAGGCTCGAGGTTTTTCTTTTTTACAAGTTAAGATTTCATTTATTTTTTTCAAAAATTAGACCTATCAATAAAAGCGTAGATGTGTTAGTACCAGAGTGTCGTTGATGTTCGCAGAATTACCTGCGTGTTTCAGGCCCCCACCCGGTGGTGAAGGTGGAGACATTTTCCGTGTCGCAGAGTGAAATCCAGATCACTTGGGAGCCCTTTGGGCAACACAGCGACGGGGTCAAGTTCAACTTGTACAGGTACCACAATGGGTCCAACGACTACGAGCAGAAATTTGAGGACTTAAACATCAATCAACTGCCATTCATTGACACAGGTAAAGTAATTATCCCATTTTCCTCACATGAGCATCAATTTTATTGTCTAACATGTGCTTTTAGATCCAACCCCTCCCCCATTTCACCTTGGAAATTTTAAAACTGCAATTTTATGAGTAGTTTTATGGGCAACGAGTAGTTTTTTGAGGTTAGATATGTAGGCCAAAGGTTCTTGAAAAGCCAAATAATAACCGAACGTAACCCCCAGGTTTTTTGTTGTAACATTTGCAGGAGGTGAAGAGCTTATAAAAAAGATTGAGTAGAAAAATTCAGACGAAAGGTTTGACTTTCCACATTTCGGCTGTAAACATTGATTGCAGTTTTTTGCTCTTAGTAGGGCTGTATGTTGTGGAACGCTTTGATTGCCAACAAATAGCAAAGGCAATTTGCCTATAAGCCGAAAATTATTTTTAAATTGCAGGAAATCAAAAACAAGATCTGAACAATGCAAATGCTCGTACGTCAAAGCAAAGCACTGATTTTTCTAACTACCGTCTATCGTCGATCACAATTTTTTTGCTTTAAAAAATTTCTAAATTGTTCAGAAATTTTTTTCTTCAATTTATTCCCCGCAATCTGTTAAGTACTAAGTGGCACGTTTTCCGTTTGGTAACATTTTTTTAAAGAAAAAACTGGCCTAGTTAAATCTGGAAGAATTCAATTGCCGCTTACGCTTTAATAGAGCGAATAATATCGCGCGTTAACTTTCCCGAGTTGAATTATGGTAATCAAAGCAGTCCTAAAACCAACCAAATCTGCTCGTATCAAGACTAAGCCCGGAATGTTCCGACTGCCTTTTAAGGTCTATGAAACAGTGTTCAATTTAAAAAAAATGATGAATTTTTCGAAAAAGAAAAAAAGAAAAAAAAAGTTACTACAATTTTGAATTTTTTTACAGTCATCCTCCCACACGCCATATAAAGTACCATAAGTGATAGATTTCGCTACCTTTGACCACAAATTATGCCAAATAGCCTATTTCAACCAATTTGGAAAAGTTTCTTTGAGGGATTGAATCTTCGCTCACGCGTTTATTGCGCAAAATATAAAGCGCGTTAATTGTCCCAAGTTGGCCATACTTGCAGTCACTAAACCAACATAATTTTATGAAAAAATATCACAGGTAAGTTATCTTTTTAAATTTGAGCTCAGGGCAGCAATATCTTTCGGTTGATATTTAAAAAATTTGTTATATCTTCTTAGTTAAAAAGTCGAAACTTTTCTGCAGAAAAAAAAACACCCCGAGCATACAAAGTCCATCAGTTTTGTTACAAACGTCGAAGCAACAAGACTGCTCGCATCATGATAAAACCCCGGATATACTGGCTGCATTTTTTTTTGCAATGGAGCAGTTCAAAAATTGAAAAAAACTTTAATAAGAAGACCCAAGATCATGCTTCAATCCCAATAGAATATTTGTCTAGGACGGAAAAAATCTCGTGCTTGATTCCCAATTGGATTAATTTCTAGGACGGAATAGATCTCGTGTAAATCTTGCTCTAGGATGGAATAAATGCAAACTGTATAGCGCGTTAACTGTCTCAAGATGGCCAAAGTGGCCAATAATATACCGCAAAACTTTACGAAAAATGATCGCAGGTGAATTATCTTTTCAAAGTTGAACTCAGGACAAAACTATTTTTCGAATGCTATTAAAATCGGGCAGAAAAAATCACCCCAAAGACAAATTTGACATACTTTTATTTGAAAAATTTGAAACAACTAGACTGCAAACAACTCATTATTCCGGCTGCCCATTAGCTGGTCTCGTCGAACTGAGTGTTTTCACGGATTTAATAAGAACAACTAGTTTGTACAATTCAGTGCACAGTTTCAGTTCGTAAGACTTCAATTCGAATTAGAACGATTTTATAGTGCGGGATAATTGGCCACGCGTAAATAACGCGCTTTACATTTTTAGCATCAAAGTAAAAAAACGAGCCTTTGATGTTAAAAAAACAAGCGATGTTAATAGAAGGATGTGCAAACTCGGCGGGGCTCACGAAGACCTAGAGATTGATCCTTGAGAAACAATTTTTTCTTACAATTAGGCTGAAAAAAAACACCCCATCATATGAATTTGAACAAAAACCATAATAACTTTGTGAAATGTGATCACAAGTGAAATGATGATTTTCATTTGAACTTCAGAAAACAATATTACTCAGATGGTATAAAAACATTCTATCAGTTAAAAATTAGAAAATGATTCAATAAGAAAAACCACACCAAGCATAAATATTCCGCACTTTCTTTGAAAGTCGGAACAATTAGCGGAACTTGCAACAAAAGAAGAAAAGAAGAACAAAAGAAGAACAAAGGGAGCGTGTTTGGAAATGCACAGTTTGGCCTCGTAATGAAGTTTTCCTATGACTCAAAGAAAATACCAGGTCAAGAGGGGGAATAGTTTTCAAACATATTTGATTTTTTCATGGTACATTTTGAAAAATCAAACAAATTTTCAATTTTTTTCAAAAACCATTTTCCCTTTTGACCATGACCCCTTGGTCAAAAGGGGGAAATGGTTTTCAAAAAAAAATTGTTTGATTTGTTTGATTTTTCAAAATGTACCATGAAAAAATCAAATATGTTTGAAAATGTTTGAAAACTATTCCCCCTCTTGACCTGGTATTTTCTGTGGGTCATAGGAAACTTAACCTTTCAAACTTTAATTCTTTTCTATTCTAAAAACAACAATGGGAAATAAGAGTGAACATAGTTGCTCTTCGATGAAAATCAAAACCTCTCATCAAAAACATATTATGTTTGTCCTAAAGACATGAAGAGTAACTCTTTTTGCTTTGTCGAATTCAAGGTTTGCTTCCTGCCAGTCTCTATACATATGAGGTGTCTGTGATTCATCTGGGCATCGAGATATTCGACCAGAGTCGAATTGAGCTGCAGAGAGAATACTTCCGTGGAAACGCTTCCATGGTCACTTTGAACGACACAGTTGCGGTTGCCTATTATAATACCACCAACAGAGAGGCTGCTTGGAGGGGAACTTCTTTCAGTGGATATGACCCGACCTTCACGAATGTCTACGAGGATATTTCGGCCAGACATAACATACGCCATATTTACTTCCGAGAGAAAACTGCCTGCACCTGTAAGTATTTTCCAACAAAGTCTCGAGGGCGTGTGTGATTAATATTCCTTTCCTCGTAATCGGTTAAAGGGAAAAAAGTGTTTTTTGTTTGCGTATAAAATCCGTCGAGTACAGGGCATGTTCTAATTAAATTGCTCGTTTAATTAAGTAGAAAATGGGCAAAAAATGGTCCAAGTTTTGAAAATTGCCGTATATTTTCATTAGATGAATAAAATTAAACCAGCGCACTTTTTTCGGGCGAAATTTTTAAATTTCACGAAAAGGTATATCCCCTAAAACTATTGAAAGTTTCGTTAAACTTTTATGAAAAAGTGATTGAATTTTTGGAAGCCTTGAAAGCGATACTATTATCAAAGTTTGGATCTTAGCTTTAAAGACAGACACCTCTCTTGACGAAATGTTTTTATTTTTACTTTTAATTAAGGCTTCCTTGAAAGTGATCATGCTCCCCTTCAGCCCCTCCACCCACGACAAAATCCCAGAACCGTCATTGGTGTGAAAATCAAATCCTTCGGGAATAATTGGATCTTTTCCTCTTCCACCCACGTTTTAAACGTGTTTTTTATGGAAATTTTTGATAATGATATTTTTGGTGAATTTTTTGATAATGATATTTTTGGTGAATTCATGGCAATTTCGGTAAATTTGGGTCGCTACGATGTAAAGTAAAAAAATGTTCGCAATAAGTAATTTGTTCAACATCTAATGTTTCATAGCATTATGAGAACGTTTAACTGCTTTTAAACATTGATGCTCATACGTGAAGGGGGAGATCGAAAAATTTGAAAGGCATAATTAGTTATTTTGCCATTTTTCATAACACTCGGACAGTGTTACTTTAAGTAATACTTCTAAGATATTGCAGGTTGTGAAAAAGAGAATGATTCTGCAATTGGAATCCTTGTTAAACCGCAAATTGAGAACACAATTGGGTTTCATTCAGTAAAAATAATCCAGAAAACTAACAAAAATTTATAGTCATTTTTTTTTGCGTTGAAAAAAGTGCCTTTCGATTTGCAGCATTCAAAATGGCATTTTTCTTTTTCATTTGAAGTTTGTTAATTGGATGGCACGAAGTTTTTGGTCGGGTCTTTGGTCGAAGGGGGGATTTGCAGGTGCTGGTGTCGACAGAGAAGTAGATTTGTGTTTCGGTACGTCGGGGTGGGGATCGAATATGAACAAAAAAGTATTGCAAAGTTGAAAAAAGCTCGTGCTTGATTATAGATCCACCAAACCCTTCCAGTATTTCGTGGTTTGCCGACACTCACACGAGTACCGGTATCACGTGGTCTGTTCCGGACTACTCCCAGGCACAGAGTGGAAGACATCCAGTGTATGGCTCTATAAACACTACCGTTTACCTCTTTGTCAATGGCGAACTGCAACATACTCTGCCAGAGGACTACTCAACAACACAGCACATTTTCACAGGTAAGCCAGGTTATTTTACTATAATCACCTTTTAATTTGTTCAAGAACCGAATACTTTTTACAACAAGGATGGGTCTAAGAGTTTTACGAAGGTTGAGACCGGAAGGAAAAAATGGTGGCTGAAAATTCTAATCCAGCACAATCGCCTGGCTTTTTTCAATTCGCTCTAATTAGTTTTTAGAAGTCAAAAAGCCAACACTAAAAGCGTCCTGAAAATCGAAGGGTTTCTACAGGGTATGACATGTTCCACCAATTTGAAACGTTTTTATTTCCTTTTTCAATCATTTTTTCAAAGTCACTTGTTTTAACAGCTAAAAAAATTAGTGACATAAATTGCTTTTTGTTCATAGAAAAATCTTCACATTTCAATTTCCTTTTGATCGGCTTGACTTCTGTTGAATTCTAATGAAGATCAACCTGAAAGCCTATTTCACAAAAGTTACAAAACGATTTGAGGAATTCTCAGTGGTTCTTATCGTTTTCTTGATTTGGTGAAATGGTGCTCAGATGGTGCTTGGTGCCGCGACAACTTGCAACAAAAGACCACTCGCAAAACAAGACTACTCGTAAAATCTTAAGGAAAAGACAGCTCGCAAAAAGAGACAACTCGTATAAAACTCTGAAAAAAATAAAACTTCCCTTTACTCTAAATGTGAAACAATAAAAGCGGTGAAGCATCAAAGCCTTTGAGGCGTCAAAATCTCTTTGGTATGAAATAATTTCACAGATCAAAGTTAAAAGAAAGAGCTTCCCGCTGCAAAAACAGATCAATGTTTTGATAGTCTTAAAGAGTTTCTGATTTTTTTGTTCCAATTGCTCATATTTAGGACATTTATAGGGCTTTTCAACGGATCTGAACCAAATTAGACAATTTTCCGTTTAACTTTGATCCCTCTTTATTTGCTGAATGAATTTTGATTCAATAGGGTGAGCATAACCCATTCATAGCTGAAAAACTTTAGGCCATCCTTCGACCGAATTGTTGGTTTTTTGATTTCCATTTATGGCACTTTTCTTGCATTTTTCCATATACCCACCACCCAAGTTTTTTCGAAAAAATCGAAATATTAATCATTGGCAGTTGTTGTTGCGTAAAGAGCTTCTAGTGCCAACTTCAAGTTGTCACATTTAGGAATGAGAACCAGCCCAATACAAGATTTCACTTTCCTTTTAAATTATTTGTCTTTTCTGTATTCAGCCGCCAGTCCTAATTCATTCATTTTGCCAATTGGCCTGCGCAAAACAAAACATGCTTTTAAAGAAGCTGTGGGAAATTCCAATCTGAAAGCAGAAACTGCCGCTTTTTCGAAACAAAAAGAAAGTTTGTTGGCTCTAATAAAGGGTTAAATTCATGTAACACAGGAAATGCTTGTTGATATTGCTGTTGAGTTGTAAAACAATTGGGAGGGAGAAGTTTTTTATGAGATGAAGTTTTTGTTAAGATGAGTAGTATAAACTTGATAGAATAATGAGTGACCTTTTAAAATGTGCCATCAGCGTGCCAAGTTGTGTAAAGCTCAAGAATGCCCAAGTTTGCCTCAGTGGTGAACACAAAAAGTCGGTCGGAATCTCCCGGCTCCGAGTCATGAGCCAAGAAATTATCCCTCCTTGGAGTGGTTTGAAGTTCCACGATAATTTCTATGTCTCCCACGGTCTGTGGCGCAACTCCAACGTCTCTTTCTTATCGAATCGATCTTGCAACCGAGGTAGATTTGCGCTTTTTTGCTGCGCATTCCTCACAAACAGTGCTCGTCACGTTTTGATAAATAAATCAGGGACGCTCTTATGTGTTTTGCTCTCTTTCTTCTACTTTTTGACCGACATTAAAACATTTTGCGAAGTTCATATATTGCTCCCCAGTAGTAGTGCAAAAAATGAGGACTATTTTTGAATCTACTTGTCAAAATTTGTTTTTTGTACATTTCACCCGCGCTTTTTAACTGCTATGCACGTTTAACGGTCTTGTTTTTATTTTAAAAATGCAAAAAAAATCAAGACACGCGTAAAAAACCTACTTTTCAACTAATCGTTCACGAGGCAACACTGAATGTAATTGATTCAATTTTCTCTCTACAACTAAATTATTACCTCAAAATACCTGTGATTAGCAAGGTCTTTTTGAGCATCTCCAAGTTGTAAAATGGCTTTTTTCCCTAATTCGATCTTCATCAACTTTTTTATCTTCAAAATCAAGATTCGTTTCCCGTGTTGACTTGTAGTGCATTGCAACATTCTTCGAACGAGTAGAAACATTTATAGAAACAAAATTGATGGTAGACCAATTAATGCAATCAAGGTTTTGGACTTAGTTATTGTTGCTAAACAAGCATTCTTCGAACGAGTAGAAACATTTATAGAAACAAAATTGATGGTAGACCAATTAAAGCAATCAAGGTTTGGGACTTAGTTATTGTTGTTAAGCAAACAAAGATCTTATTGTCTTTCCCCATTAATTGCTTCGAATTAAGTATAAAATTATCTGATATTCAGTGGGCGATTACGGGTCTTTGTTTGGGCGTAATTAAATGGCCAACTTACGAGTTTTTTGTGAGTCGTCTTTTTTGCGAGTTGTCTTTTATTTCGAGTTGTCGTGTTGCCACTAAAATCATTCAGCAAAATGCAGTTCAGACCATTCAGCGAAGCTATTCTTCTAGTAAACCGCCACAATTAATTCAGCTTGTGTTTTTTGTTCTGACTTTCGAAGTAAGAAAGGAACATCTATGCTCGGGGTTGTTTTTTATTATTCAGACCACTTTTTATCTTTGATTGATCCCTGATTCTGCGTGTTACACAGAAGGGTTGTTCTCACCACTATAATACCCTGATTTTACAGTTGCTAGGGAACGAGTCTAACTAAACGGCTTGTTTTAAACTTTGTTGCTGAAAAAGGAACGAAAAAAATATTGGTGTGGTTAATTGATTTGCACCACGAAATTGTTGCAAATTAAATTGAGGCAAGCTAAATTCTTTTATTTTAAACACGATCCAGTTTATATTCCAATATTTGAATAAAGTGACGGAAAGTTTTTGCTAAAAGTTGGTGTTTTTTTTCCAGACAAACTTCGTTTTTTTCTACTAGAAATATTTGACGGATTTTTTTTGTATCAGCCGAAAATTTTTGTTGTCTTTGGCTCAAGTTTAAAAAAGTAATTTATCTGTATTTTTTCGTAAACTTATAAGGGCTTAAAGATCGCCAATATGGCCAATTGGGGACATTGCGCGCGCGATATATTTCGAGCTATTAAGGCGAAGTTAAATCCATTTTAGATATCGTTCCAAATTAGTTGTAACAGGCTAATTTCATAACTTTTTGCCTTAGTAGGAGCAAAATTTATCATTCGAATTTTATATGGCGTATGAAAGGGGATGAAATCAAAAGAAAAAATCATAAAATTTTAGTAATTTGTTTTCGAAAAGCTTATCATTTCTCAAAGCGAACACTGCTTCTTAGACGTTAAAAAGCAGTCGAATTTTTCTGAGTTTCGCCTTGATAGAGCAGTCTTGAGTATACTTGAAATTTGATGAAATCAGGCTAAAATTCATAGCTCGTCATTATTTCATGAACTAAAATGTATGGATCCTCATGTTACCTGAAGGGGCGCGCTAACCACTAGACTATACTGCCATAAAAATTGCCGTAAAACGCTCACTAATAGACTAACATGACTATCAGAGCGCTGTGATACTTCAATGCTGAAATTTTAAGGCGCATTTTTTAGGCCTGGCGACTTATTCCGCACCACAAAATTGTTTTAAACTCATTTGAGGCAGGCTAATTTGTCTGATAAAATCCATGCACGATTCTTAATATCTAGCTTAAAATTGATAATTTATCATTAATTCATTAATCAAAAACTATTCGAGACCAGTTTAAGGACAGTCGGAAATTTCAGGGCTTCGCCTTGATACGCACAGTCTTGTTTGAAATAAATCAGCGTATAACTAATTGAAGAATTCTTGCAAGTACATACCATACCGTTCACTCCAATTCAACTGCCTTAACTTACACTTCGAACAAAAGTTATAGTAAGCGTGATACCCTGTTTGTTCTTTAAATGTTTAATTGGCAACAATTGCACAAAACTTGTATTAAGGCGAAGCGTTGAACGTTTTAACTATGCTTTCAGGTGCTCAAAATAAAAGTTCTCAAAATAAAAGGTGCTCAAAATAAAAAGTGCTCAGATACACCAACTAAACTTGGTGCCGCGACAACTTGCAACAAAAGACCACTCGCAAAACAAGACTACTCGTAAAATCTTAAGGAAAAGACAGCTCGCAAAAAGAGACAACTCGTATAAAACTCTGAAAAAAATAAAACTTCCCTTTACTCTAAATGTGAAACATTAAAAGCGGTGAAGCATCAAAGCCTTTGAGGCGTCAAAATCTCTTTGGTCTGAAATAATTTCACAGATCAAAGTTAAAAGAAAGAGCATCTCGCTGCAAAAACAGATCAATGTTTTGATAGTCTTAAAGAGTTTCTGATTTTTTTGTTCCAATTGCTCATATTTAGGACATTTATAGGGTTTTTCAACGGATCTGAACCAAATTAGACAATTTTCCGTTTAACTTTGATCCGTCTTTATTTGCTGAATGAATTTTGATTCAATAGGGTGAGCATAACCCATTCATAGCTGAAAAACTTTAGGCCATCCTTCGACCGAATTGTTGGTTTTTTGATTTCCATTTATGGCACTTTTCTCGCATTTTTCCATATACCCACCACCCAAGTTTTTTCGAAAAAATCGAAATATTAATCATTGGCAGTTGTTGTTGCGTAAAGAGCTTCTAGTGCCAACTTCAAGTTGTCACATTTAGGAATGAGAACCAGCCCAATACAAGATTTCACTTTTCTTTTAAATTATTTGTCTTTTCTGTATTCAGCCGCCAGTCCTAATTCATTCATTTTGCCAATTGGCCTGCGCAAAACAAAACATACTTTTAAAGAAGCTGTGGGAAATTCCAATCTGAAAGCAGAAACTGCCGCTTTTTTGAAACAAAAAGAAAATTTGTTGGCTCTAATAAAGGGTTAAATTCATGTAACACAGGAAATGCTTGTTGATATTGCTGTTGAGTTGTAAAACAATTGGGAGGGAGAAGTTTTTTATGAGATGAAGTTTTTTTTGAGATGTGTAGTATAAACTTGATAGAATAATGAGTGACCTTTTTAATTGTGCCATCAGCGTGCCAAGTTGTGTAAAGCTTAAGAATGCCCAAGTTTGCCTCAGTGGTGAACACAAAAAGTCGGTCGGAATCTCCCGGCTCCGAGTCATGAGCCAAGAAATTATCCCTCCTTGGAGTGGTTTGAAGTTCCACGGGAATGTCTATGTCTCCCACGGTCTGTGGCGCAACTCCAACGTCTCTTTCTTATCGAATCGATCTTGCAACCGAGGTAGATTTGGGCTTTTTTGCTGCGCAATCCTCACAAACAGTGCTCGTCACGTTTTGATAAATAAATCAGGGACGCTCTTGCGTGTTTTGCTCTCTTTCTTCTACTTTTTGACCGACATTAAAACATTTTGCGAAGTTCATATATTGCTCCCCAGTAGTAGTGCAAAAAATGAGGACTATTTTCGAATCTACTTGTCAAAACTTGTTTTTTGTACATTTCATCCGCAATTTTTAACTGCTATGCACGTTTAATGGTCTTGTTTTTATTTTAAAAATGCAAAAAAATCAAGACACGCGTAAAAAACCTACTTTTCAACTAATCGTTCATGAGGCAACACTGAATGTAATTGATCCAATTTTTTCTCCACAACTAAATTATTACGTCAAAATACCTGTGATTAGCAAGGTCTTTTTGAGCATCTCCAAGTTGTAAAATGGCTTTTTTCCTTAATTCGATCTTCATCAACTTTTTTATCTTCAAAATCAAGATTCGTTTCCCGCGTTGACTTGTAGTGCATTGCAACATTCTTGAAACGAGTAGAAACATTTATAGAAACAAAATTGATGGTAGACCAATTAATGCAATCAAGGTTTTGGACTTAGTTATTGTTGCTAAACAAGCATTCTTCGAACGAGTAGAAACATTTATAGAAACAAAATTGATGGTAGACCAATTAAAGCAATCAAGGTTTGGGATTTAGTTATTGTTGTTAAACAAACAAAGATCTTATTGTCTTTCCCCATTAATTGCTTCGAATTAAGTATAAAATTATCTGATATTCAGTGGGAGATTACGGGTCTTTCTTTGGGCGTAATTAAATGGCCAACTTACGAGTTTTTTGCGAGTCGTCTTTTTTGCGAGTTGTCTTTTATTTCGAGTTGTCGTGTTGCCACTAAAATCATTCAGCAAAATGCAGTTCAGACCATTCAGCGAAGCTATTCTTCTAGTAAACTGCCACAATTAACTCAGCCTGTGTTTTTTGTTCTGATTTTCGAAGTAAGAAAGGAACATCTATGCTCGGGGTTGTTTTTTATTATTCAGACCACTTTTTATCTTTGATTGATCCCTGATTCTGCGTGTTACACAGAAGGGTGTTCTCACCACTATACTACCCTGAGTTTACAGTTGCTAGGCAACGAGTCTAACTAAACGGCTTGTTTTAAACTTTATTGCTGAAAAAGGAACGAAAAAAATATTGGTGTGGTTAATTGATTTGCACCACGAAATTGTTGCAAATTAAATTGAGGCAAGCTAAATTCTTTTATTCTAAACACGATCCAGTTTATATTCCAATATTCGAATAAAGTGACGGAAACTTTTTGCTAAAGGTGGGTGTTTTTTTTCCAGGTAAACTTCGTTTTTTTTCTACTAGGAATGTTTGACGGATTTCTTTTGTATCAGCCGAAAATTTTTGTTGTCTTTGGCTCAAGTTTAAAAAAGTAATTTATCTGTATTTTTTTCGTAAACTTATAAGGGCTTAAAGATCGCCAATATGGCCAATTGGGGACATTGCGCGCGCGATATATTTCGAGCTATTAACGCGAAGTTAAATCCATTTTAGATATCGTTCCAAATTAGTTGTAACTGGCTAATTTCATAAATTTTTGCCTTAGTAGGAGCAAAATTTATCATTCGAATTTTATATGGCGTATGAACGGGGATGAAATCAAAAGAAAAAACCATAAAATTTTAGTAATTTGTTTTCGAAAAGCTTATCATTTCTCAAAGCGAACACTGCTTCTTAGACGTTAAAAAGCAGTCGAATTTTTCTGAGTTTCGCCTTGATAGAGCAGTCTTGAGTATACTTGAAATTTGATGAAATCAGGCTAAAATTCATAGCTCGTCATTATTTCATGAACTAAAATGTATGGATCCTCATGTTACCTGAAGGGGCGCGCTAACCACTAGACTATACTGCCATAAAGATTGCCGTAAAACTCTCACTAATAGACTAACGTGACTATCAGAGCGCTGTGATACTTCGATGCTGAAATTTTAAGGCGCATTTTTTAGGCCTGGCGACTTATTCCGCACCACAAAATTGTTTTAAACTCATTTGAGGCAGGCTAATTTGTCTGATAAAATCCATGCACGATTCTTAATATCTAGCTTAAAATTGATAATTTATCATTATTTCATTAATCAAAAACTATTCGAGACCAGTTTAAGGACAGTCGGAAATTTCAGGGCTTCGCCTTGATACGCACAGTCTTGTTTGAAATAAATCAGCGTATAACTAATTGAAGAATTCTTGCAAGTACATACCGTTCACTCCAATTCAACTGCCTTAACTTACACTTCGAACAAAAGTTATAGCAAGCGTGATACCCTGTTTGTTCTTCAAATGTTTAATTGGCAACAATTGCACAAAACTTGTATCAAGGCGAAGCGTTGAACGTTTTAACTATGCTTTCAGGTGCTCAAAATAAAAGTTGTTCCAAGTTTGTGATTGAAATTTTCAACGTTTCCTCACATTCAAACAAGGTGGGGATCAACTTTTTACCAGACTGATTTATTACTGAAAAAGTTATAACATTCTCGCTAAAGATAAAACGGTTTCTCAACAAAGTTATGTCTGTTCTTCTATTTCTATTCTTCCACTGATTTTACAGTTATATTAATTGAATTTCTGCATTGTGGTGTGGCAAAAGGTCGTTCTGGTGAAAAACCAGTCTGGTAAAAGACCTGGCCCCAATCAATGCAAACTGCTATGTGATAGTTTTTCGTATTCTACTAACACAATATTTTGACCAATTAAAAGGCTTCCGTTCATTTTGGAATGGTTTCTGAGCCAGATTAATTCGCCGCATTTGAAATGCTCTATTTAAAAACTGGAAAAATGGCGCAGCGTACCTACCCTAACTTAGTCATACATACAGTTTTCAAATCCATAGCTTCGCGAAAAATAGTAACGTACAAAATCTTTGCAAAAACTACTCAGTAAAAACTTTAGATTGGTATGAAGAAAAAGTAGCCACATTCTTCCTTAATTTTCCTTGAGCAAAAAAAAAGCCGGAGCAAAAAAAATAAATTGTTTTTCTTTTTTTAGTCAAGCAGCCCGGATGCCTAACCCAAAGGTTAATAATTATTAAAGTTGCATATATTTGGCGCGAATTGAGATATAATTATACTTTCACGAGCTTAACATAGCCAACAATTATATATGATTGCTGGTAACCGTCACTACAGGAGCGCCACAAATCCATAATTTGCAGTTTAACAGTATTGTCAAAATTAAACAAAATTACTAAAATGATTTTGACTGAATTGTCTGAATTTTAACTGTTTTTTGCCAATCTTTCTGAACGCGATCATTTGTTACATTAGATTTTTCAGGTAACAAGTGTTGATGGTAAAAACCCGAAAAATTAGTTCCAAAAACTGTCAGCTAACTGACCTATACTTTTATTTTCCCAGATCTGCCCAATCCGAAAGCAGCTTACACGTGCGAAGTCGCTGTGGGGCTCACTTGTCCAGATGACAAAATTCTCCTAGATGTTCAGGACTATGGCAATTATAACTTCCAGAACGGACCTCCTCCTATGTGACTGAAATCTCATAATTATTTCAAATTTGTCATTTAAAACCTATATGATTAAAAGACGAAACCAAATATCATATTTTTGGCGAAGCTGGTCTTTTTTGTCACTTAGATTCACTTAGCTAACAATTTATAGAAAGATGATTTTTCTATAGTTTTTTTAAAAAGAATTATGGGTAGTAAAAAATGCTCAAAAATTTGAGACCAGATTATTTATCTAATATATGATACAGTTTCCAAGTTTATAGCAGGCTAAATCATTTGGTGGTTGGTTTCTTCAGTTTGTTCGAATACATCAACAACACCGAAAGAAATTTGACAGCAGAGGATGTTTTGATGAGTTATGACAGCACCACTTCGAATCAACGAGTGCAAATACCCTGTTACACAAGTAAGGATGAATCAATCGCCTATTTACTTATATATCAGATAATTGAATTGGGTTTGTCATCCCTGTCAGCTGTCATTTAATTGCGGCTAAAAGCTCTGTTTTTGACCAAAGATGACGTCCAAGGAAAGGCTGCATTTCGATATTAATAGGCAAAAGACTGCTGTCGAAAGCAAATCTTTTCCTGTCAAAAATTTTTTCCATAGTTTTGGAAGTTGCTTTGAAAAACAAGAAATGTAACTTCCTCTAATTAACTTGGCTTGTTCACCAAAAAACATAGAATTGGCCACGAAATAGAAAAAATATTAAGCAAAAAATCCAATTTATTGCAATTAATTGGTCTTGTTCGTCAATCAAGCCCCAAAGGTTTTTGCTTCTGTATAGAAAAAACTTAGCTTTTTTCTTATCTATGAAAGTTATCACTAATCATGCGTTTATTACAAAAAAAAAATACCGTCTTTATCGCCTTTTGAAAAAAAAACCATTTGAAAAATAAGCAGAGCACTTCCAGGAAGCAAAATAGTAGATTAGTAGGGTAGCAGATAGATTCGTTTTTATGTGTTTCTGAGAAAAAAAGATTTCCTATTAGAAGTTCAGTCGAGTTTTCCGAAAAAAAAAGACTTGCCGCTTTCATTTTATTATTTTATAAAGAATTTTGAGAAAAATCCGCAAATTCTGCCGTAAAAATAAAATTCTGCTCTATCTGCTGCTCTATAAAACATTTTGCTGTTTAAACTGAATTTTTCAATCTCTTTCAATCAAGATTTCTTTGGGGCTTGTATGTCAACAAACGAAAATATGAAAATTGTTGATGCCAAATGAATGCCTTCAAAAATTGCAATTGATTGGTTATCAATTGACATCTCCCATGCCTCCTACTAACCAAGCACAATAACTCAGTTTCATAGGAAGCATAGTCTAGAGCTAGCAGTTTGAATGGAGTGCTATAGGTGTACGGGTTGAATCTGAGAAAGTTATATTTTTGATGAGTTTGTCAGCAAATATAAATTTCTGTTTTTTCGCTAATTTTGCTATGCAGAACAAAAATTCCAAAAACAGAACCGAGTCAGTACTGATTCAATACAATTACAGTGCAGTTTGATCTCCGTTTTATCTGTGATCAAAGCGAAAATGGAATAGTCTGTTCTGAAGTTTTACTGAAACAACACTGGAGCAAAACTGGTTTGCACTGCGAGATCTCATGTGAAGCAATATCATTGTACTAAACCAAACAAAACTGCTGATTGTTCCGACTGCCTTTTCAGGTCTATGGAGCAAGAAATAACATGAAAAAACTAATGGTAAAAGAAATGAAAAAAAAATTAAACTTTGATATATTTTTTGAAAATCGTCCTCCCACACGCCATATAAAAAACTAAGTGATAGGCTTCGCTGCTAGCAAAATATCAATTATGACAAAAAAGCTTCCTTCAACCAATTTGCAACGATTTCTAAGACGGATTAAAACTCCGCTTACGCGTTAATAGCGCGAAATATATCGTTAATTGTCCCAAGTTTACTAAAATGGCAATCCTTAAATCCCCGTAACTTAACAAAAAACGAACACAGTTAAACATCTTTTCAAATTTAAGCTCAAGACAACAATACTTTTTGAATGATATTTAAAAATTTCGTCAAAAATGGCTAGTTAAAAAGTCGAGATTTGTCTGAAGAAATAAAACCTACCCCGAGCACAACTATTCCGTTACTTTCATTACGAAAGTCGGAACAATAGAATTTTACACTGAATAAACAAAAAACATTCTAACGAACAAGAAGTTATTAGGCATTCCCATTTTTGAGTTCTTGGCGTACAGGAAAGCTCTATGAAATTTTTCATATTTAAGCTCAAACCCTCCGTGCAAGTAATTACCGTGCAACTATAGAGGCGGTATAGAAGTAGAACAAGACTGCTCGTATATCAGCACAAAACCCTGAATGTTCCGACTGCCCTTACATTTATATTGATTTGTTTTTTGGGGAAAAAAATATGAAAGTTTATAAATTTTGGACAATATCAGAGAATTTCAGTTGTTGACAAAAAAAACTATCTACTCTCAAGAAAGGACAACCCAAGCGTATCCGCTAGCAATGGCGATATACGGTCTAGCCATTATACCCCTCAAAAAACTTTTATCAGATGACAACGTAACCCAGAAGTGGTATGCAGACGACGGAAACGCAGTCGGTAAACTAAGCACTCTACGAACCATCCTCGATAAGTCAAAATGACTATTTAGCCTCAGTTCAATTTAGAACGATTTTTTGTGCGTATTATTTCACGACGCATAAGTAATTTGGGTCTTTTTTCAGGATTATAGATAAAGTCTTCAAAGTGCGCATAAATTAGTCCAGAGCATGGTCAAATTGGCAACTTTTCGAACTCCCAAAAACTTTTCAAAGAAAGATCGTAAAATATCCCTTTAGAAAGTTTGTTAAAAGTAAGAGGTAAAATAACCTTTTAAATTTTATTTTAGGGAGTCGATATCTTCAATGCGGCATTAGAAATTTTTTTTTAAAACTATTGTTTCGATCGTGGGTTTGCCAATAAATCAGCCAGTCCATTTTGTCCAGTCGATGTTTTATTTTGCTTATCTTGATAACTTTCAAACAATTTTTTAATTAAAATTTTATACTCTATTTCATTTTATTGGGGATACAACCAAAAACACTCGTGTTATTTACCAACTGAGTTTTTGACAATCCAATAATTATTCACTTGAGCGCGTCCAGTAGTGCTGAAAGCCTGAAATACAACAAAAATGACTTGAAAGGTTTTGGAACATTATAGATTGTTATCTTTTTTCTAATAAATTCCTTCTAAAATGTTTTTTTTTTTGCAAAAAATCAAATATAAACTTAAAAGCTAAGTTAGAATTTTTGATCAACGAGATTTGATCATTTTTTTTCAGGAAAAATTGTTGAAACAGTTATATTTGTTTTGTTTTAGAACGAATTTAATGTTTGGCCCGTTTTTGTGAATTTGCCAATTTTAATTAGGTTGCACAAGGATAAACACTCATGGAACTGTCTTGCTTTATTATAAAAGCATGGGTTCTTGAAATCCGAAAAATTGAAAAACATAACTTTGTCAAAGATGTTTGTTCTTTTTTTGACATTTAGGAGGCTTTTTTTATTTGACAGTTTAGGAGTTTTTGCTTTCTTAATTTTTTGTCACACAAAAGGTGTCACAAATAAAAAAACATATATTTTCAAGTGGATAATCGTATCAAAGCCCTTTCATAAGAGATTCCATCAGTTTTAAAATGATAATTTCTTTTCAATGCCGGGAAAATTTTGCTTGGAATTTCTATAAGTAATAATAAAGCCATGAGTGACAGGAAATCGCAAAAATATTTTAAAAAATTTTTTTGTTTAAAAATTATAAAATTCCTTGGTCGTCTTTGTTTTTCAGTTTTTCGTCATAAATAGCTGTAATTGAAACCTTTTGAAGTGCGTGCAAATAATTGGCTGTTTTTGTTTTTTGGCTCTCTGGTTATAATTTTCATCGTATGGTGCATCTACATTTCGTATGTATTTAGGGCCGACACCTGTCACAATTCTGAGCATTCAGCCGGGAGAGACCGATCCCACGACTGAACTGACAATCAACTACTCCCGACCAGAAACAGAGGTGAAATACGAGGCCAAAATGTAAGTAATAAACTCAATAATTCACAGATTAGTAAAAGCAAATAAGCTAAAACAATTATATTGTTTCTTTTCGGCGACAGAAAATAAGTATCTTTGGTGTTATACAATTTACTTTAGTTTTTTAATGGGTTCAAATTACCGGCATAATTAGGAATCGATGAGCATATTTCAGACTCTGATATAGGTCGTGATGATTTTTTTTCTTTGTTCATTTTTTTCAGGAAAATTCTTCAAATTTGTTCAGGCTCAACTTTAATTGTTCCGCGGTTTGACTTTTGATTAGTTTAATAGTTTTGTTCAATTTTCCTCTGTTAAAAAGAAGGGAAACTCCACTATCGATCAGCAGAAATTTAATGATCACGAAAAACGTGATTGATTTCTAGTTTCGAAAGTGGAATTTTATTTTCAGATTTCCCATCGAAATTAAAATTTTACTTGATCCTGTTTTCTCAAATTGGGTTGATTGTAGGAAAAAAGTGCCGAGCATAAATTGATTTAAAGTTCAAAGAATTTCAAGAGCAGCACTTTTGCTTTGAAATTCGAAATTTCAAAAACGAAAGTCCGTTGTATCTCTGCTTGGGAGATATCGACTAGTCTTCCTACATTGTTTATTTTTTCGGCTACTACGGATTCGAGCCTGAAACCCTTAATAGAGAGACAGAAAAATCGAATTCCGTCGATTGCGACGCCGTGCGAATTGATCAGCAAAGGTACTCCTAGAGTATGTTTCACAATTCGCCTTAGTTCTCACAATTCGACAAAGTCTGCGGATAAGACCTCATCCAGCCCCTGTACTTCGTCTTGTACGTAATCGCTCCCCCATTAGAACCGACACATTCCCTATCAAAACAGGTGTCCTGTGCACTGCATTTTTTGGACTCGGATTCTTCTCAGAAGGACTACTAGTTCCCGGCTTCTTTCCTGATCTTTCCCCCACAGTGACATTTCCCCCACCTGTTGATTGGCTTGTCGTTTGCTGCACCACGCTGGGTGTCGTTTTTGGCAAGGCTGTTTGTTCCTCCTCCGATGTGTCTTGTTGCGTGAGCGACTTGATCTGTCTCTATTCAGCAATGTTTTGGGTGTGTTTTCACCAGATCCCTCCTGTTTGCTACTCTCGCAGCCCCTGGCGAAGGTTTACTCTGCCTTCCCAATTTTATGTCGTTTTCGTTCGCCCTCAGTGAAGGGAGTTCAACCAAGAGCGTTTGATGATCCTGAGTGTCCATCTCAAATGAGCCCTGACTGCTCGTTTGGTCGCAATCCTTCTCTCCTCATCCGCCGATGAGAGCATTGCTGGACTTGCCGGCCTGACTTCTGGAACTGTCTCCAGAAAATGTGCTACGCTACCATCCTCGGAACTCGATTAGGGCACTATGTTGCCTGTGTGTGCCTTGACCAACCGATGTTTCGTCTCTACATCGGCGTGTTCCCCGCCTACCGTAGAAAGTTTTGCCAATGGTTGCTCCACTGTTTGCTCCGACGGCTGTGTTCTGGGTTGTTCCAACCCCATTGTCCGAACGCTGATTGAAATCTTTATGGGCCGTGACATCACTGGGATCAAAGTTTGGGATCAAGGGTTCCGAACACTGTTTTTCTGGCATCAAGTGTTGGGACTTTTGAGCTCATCCTGATCGCTTCTCTGATTGCTTGCGACCTGGACGAAGTACGTAAACTTACCGAGATGTCAGATATATGTATAACGTTTCCCGGGAACAAGCTAATTGCATGGTCGTTTCCCAAACAACTTTGTCTGAGAGCTCTTCAAAGTGCGGTTCTGATTTTAGCCGAACCTTGATTTCTCGAAAAATTTGACAACCTTTCCTGTGGGCATCCAGCACTGGTGCTTCGTAAGTTCGCATGTTTATGCTTGAGCTCATTGAGGTTCCCTGAGTCAAGGTGCTCGGAGCCAACGGTGTTCTACCCTCTCGAACTCGCCTATGGTGGAGTTAGCATCTGTTCACCGTAATCCTGCTTTACTCGGGTAGGAAACATCTTCTTGTTCCGATCTAATGCAAAAAATAAATACGGGTTACCGTGTGCGAATTACCGTGTGCCAAATAGTGTTCTTTGGGTTTCTACCGAAATGCGCTTCGAACGGCGTACATCCCATCGACTGATGATTTGTAGTTCTTACGTTGTATATGATTTCACTTATTATGGATTTAGGCGCAGGTTTTGGCTTCTGGAATGAGCATGCCTTTAAATATTCTCGAAACGCTCGAATGCACCGTTCCACTAGACCGGTGGATCGATGACTTCCTACTGGTGCAAATCTTAACTTGATGTTTTTTTTTCACAGAATAAGTTAATCGCTTTTGCCACGAATCTTGACCCTTGGTCCGCTCTTATCACCTGGATGTCATATGGAGTGTGATATATTTTTCTAAGAGTTCTTTCATCACTGCTGCGTTAGTAAGTGATGTTGTTGGAACCTTCAAGCTTCAGAGGACCGAACCTCTCAAATCAAAAGATAATTACACGTTCCCGATATTTCAGGCACATAGCCTAAGAAACTCAATTGTATTCCTGGTTAGGTTCCTCCATCGAGTCTAAGCTGGATACTTCTGTGATAGTTATGTCTGATTTTAAATTCTTACCCGACTTGATGCACTTTTTGCACTTTGCAGCGGTAATTTGTGTTTATCGGTTCATATGCGGTCACCAGAAAAAATTCTACGTCTTATTCCGCATTTTTATCTTTCCCGCATGTCTTTTATGCAATCGCATAATGATGGGCGCCCTCTTATCTCTGGGGGATAATCATCTGGCCTTCCATAAACAAGGTTCCTTTAGACGTAAAAAAATTTGAAATTTGGCTCAAGTAAGTTCAGAGGTTTGTAATGGGGGAGTGATCTGTTTAGACAACGCTTCAATAATGCAGTTAAGTTATTCATCTGCTTTAATCAGAACTACTATGAATTTTTTATCCAAAAATTCCGACTAAACAAACAGAACAGGATTGAAACAAAATTATCTGCCGGTGCAAGTTTGATTGAAACAACGGCTGATGATATGAATTTTTTCCTTTAGCAAAGATTCACTGGCGTCTTACCCTAAACTTTCTCTTGAGATGGGATTTTGTCTTATTTCCCAAGGGTCGATAAGCCTAAATTTTTGGCAAATTTTTCTACGGCGATGACTTTGAATGCACACTCTGATCAATTGACAGTTCTTTAACGCGTTGATGACTTTGCTCGCTGCTAATTGTTTTCGAGTTCGTAATTCTCGTTGGATTGTTTGTACATGAGGTCATTTGGTACGCTTTGGGCTCCTTTGCTTCTGCTAAAGGTGATATTAGACTACTAATTTCATCATTTTGTGGCACAACAAAAGTGTTGTACATCTGTATCAACCACTGGATGACGAAAACCACTGGATGAAGAGGCAAGTTGTTTTGGAATTCTTTTCCTCTAAGAGGCAGGCTAGTAATGCATTGTGATCCCTTATTGTTTTGAAACGAGCTCCAAACAAATAGTTCTGAAAGTGAGTCTCGGCCCTTACGACCGCCAGTAGTTTCACCTGGTCACAAAGAGTATATTTTAGCTCCGTTTCGTTAAAAAACTGGGACGCATACAAATTTGGTTTCCAAACCTCGGCGTGTAATTGTATCAAAACAGCCCCTAGGCTCTTTTCGCTGCATCATTTCTATTTTTGTGTCTTTCTTCGCATCGAAATGGTGGTTTTGTACAAAATCTTTCACATTTCCCTACATCCTCTCAAAAGCTTCTTCTTGTTTTGTTTCCCAATCAAACCTCGAAAGTTTTTTTGATTAAAATCCGAGAAGGTTCCATTGTTCCCGCTAATTTCGAAATGAAGCGAATCAACTGGTTAATCGGCCCAATCAGCGACCAAATATTCAATGTTTCCAGTTTTTTTTTTCAAATTCAAGATAGAATCTAGGTTTCTTTCTACATGATCGGAATTTTGGATTGATAATTTAAATCCCAGCCATTCGATTTCCTTAGCATAAATGGTGCTCTTGCTCCATTTGACAGCGGCATTCTTATTATTATGCAATACCTGCAAGATTTTCCGAAGTTCGTGCCAATGGCGTTCTGTAGACCCTGGATTGCGATAAAGATATCGTCAAGATTCACAAGTACCCCTGGCAAACGGCCCAAAATTGAATCCATTACCTGTCGAAACTCATTACGCATCCTGCTGCTTTGAACCAATATACCCTGTTAAACTTCCTTCCGCTATACCAAATTTACACACCGGACTTGTTTCGTTGCTAAATGGCATTTGCGAGTATGCAAATTTTAGGTCAAAGTTTGAAGACTGTGTCGGTTCAGCCGTGTTCCCGCTAATAGCTAAAGCCACATTGTCTACTATGTCAATCATGTTCGATATTTGGTTCGAGATTTGGTCTATTGATTGATTAATTTTGAGATTCCTAAATTAAGAGAACCGTCTTTTTTAGCTGTTTATACCGTTGGTAGGACAAAACAGTAGTCTGTACTTTTGCCTAATTTCACAATGTGATCATCGTCGAGTAGGTCTTTGATAGTTTTTCAACTTTACTTAATACGTGTATGGAAATTCTTTTCTCTTATACCTGTATTGGTTGTAACGGTTGACTTCGCATTTTTCAATATTCCTTTTCCAACATACAATTCTTGAATTTTTTTAGTATACTTGTAGAATACTTGCACTGAATTTGGGGATATTCCGTTTGGATTGTCTCTGAATTATTCCCTTCCATTTCATTGAAAGCGCTAGAGCGCTGCTTCTGACGTACTTTGGTTCCTAGTGCGAGTAGAATTGTATTTCCGAGTATATCTCGTTGTCCCTCTCCGTGATGCAGAACTGTGCGCCCCTGGCTGTTCAGCTTTCCGATTCTAGATCGACGGAGACAAGCCCAATTTTTGGATGACGTCATCTGTCACGCCGCAGAAATACATTTCCTATTATCTTTGGAACCACTCTGATGCTGACAAACCTGTCTCATGTGTTTAGCTGGTGTAATTTTGCTTGCATAATGAACGACACAAAACTTGCGAAATCGATTTGAAACTCGGTTTGCCTCTGGCTTCTCCCTGTCCTAATGTGTAACCTTTTTCAACTTTTCTGCCCGTCTTTGTCCTTAACTGTTCTTATGGCGAATACGCCAAAAACGTCGTCATCATAATTTTCCTTAAGCTTTCTGATAACACTTGTTTCGTGCTGCGAAAAATTGCACAATCCATCTTCTTGAATGACCGTCGTTTTATTTACAAAAATCAGTAAAATTTCGTCTCTTACTACAATTATGGCAAATTATGTTATCAGCTTCGCAATATTCACTATGATTAGGTCTCAGTGGGTTCCCATACTTGTGGCATTTGTCTAGAAATTGTCAAATTCCTCCATTTACCGGTTTCTTGTTTATATACCCACTGGGTTCGCCCGCATTGCTAGTTTGTAGCCCTTGATTGAACTCTTTTTTCCCAAACCTACTTAATCCCCCACTGATATTTTTGTAAATCTGCTCGTCTTGTTATCTCCCAACCGCGAAATCTAACGCATCTCCAAGAGTCAAGGTTTCCATACACAGTTATTCCTTTATCTCCTCGTTCTTCATATTAACAATCAAGACGTTGCAAACGGTAGGCTCGTCACGTTTTTCGGAATTGCCACCCAGGTATTGGTCGCTGAGAGCTCAAAAAACTGTTCCATACTTTCACTATATCTTTGTTTCTGTCCAAGAAACGTGAATCTGTTTTAGTGACTTTTGGTTCTCTTAGGATTGTATCTCTTGCCAATTACCGCATTCACTAAAAATAATGTCTACAATTCTCCGGTGAGGTTCTTTCTGATTGAAGTTCCTCTGTCCTTGCTTTCCCAAAGATAGCAAATGTTTGGGCTTTAAATGCTTGTCTTTTTCGTCCCGGGTGTTCTTGGCATCGCCATTTTTCTATCACTGCATTAATTCGCGCCTCCCGTTACGTTCGAGCTGCTGGGTCCTCTGTTGCTGGCGCTTCTTCCAAGGTAGGATAAGTAATATGTGGTAAAGGAGTGTCGATAGGAAGGTCTTTTATATCGATTTCTTCCCTGGCGATGACCACCAGTTGGAACCTCTGGATCCAGTCCTTCCAGGGAACCGGGAATTCGTGGGATGGCCAAAACAACTTCCAGGACGCGATAGATTGAATCCGTAATTGACTGTGCCACGTAAAAGTATGCACTGCTTCAAATTTTTCCTGTTAAACCATAAAGGTAAAAAGTCAACTTTAATTTAGTTTTCCTATGCCAGCCACTGGCTGTACCTTCACTCTACGGTAACTGTAAAATTGACCTTGAGAGCCATTTGACGTTACGTAATGATAATAAAATCATAATAATACACATATTCTAGGATCATAATTTTACCTCTACACCACATCCTAATATCATAATATTTCTGATGATATCAATGTTTATTCAACAATCGAGCCTATTTTCAAAAACTTGCTTCAGCGGAGAAAGTGTTGTCAAAGTAGGGTCTTCATTGTCAATCTCAGGGGCAGATGAAAACTTTCCATCCAAGTGGTGGGGCGCGTTTTTGAACAATTTCCAAAGTTTTATCGTCCATTTTTTATTTGAGGTCCACCAAATTTTTTTTCCGAGCGCCCAAGAACATTATAGAGGTCCTATTTTGACAAAAATGTCTGCGCCGCATACAATTCTTGATGAGAAAACTGGTGAAAATGCTGTTTTTGGGCGTTTTTTAAGTTTTCGACCAGAAACATGTTTTTTTTCGGCGCGCGCTCCACTTCAAAATGTTTGCAAACATTGGCGCCAAATGCCTTTTTCGAAAAAGCTCAGAGTTATTTGCTAGAAAATGATGTCATAAATTAATACCTAATACCAACGGGTACACCCTTTGGTTGATGAGCGGTTCGAGTCCCGCTTGCTAACCCCTTCCTAAATCCACCCCTGGTGGATCTAAGAAAAGATCTAAGGATTTGGCTTGGCTCGAAAAGTCAAAGCTGCACAACTGAAAAGAAGCAGACCTAATTTTTCAAACTTGCACACGCCACCGGTTGAAACTATTAATAACTAAAAAAAAAAGACAAATATCATTTTACTGTATAGAATCTGTATAGCAATCAATGTAATTTAATCTGTTTCTCAAATTGTTTAGATTTCTTTGTATGTATAGCGGGTAGGTTAGCTATGTTATATAGGTTTTCGTTCTGATTTTCGAAGAAAATGACTTGCGCTCAGGGGTGGTCTTTTTCTCCGCATAAATTTCGACGTTCTAAATAGCATTTTTTGACAATAATTGTTTTTCATTATTCCCAACTTATTGTTATCCTGAGCTCAAATTTGAAAAAAATCTTTAAATTTTTGTTTTAAAGTAATGAAGGTTTAAAGATTGCCATTTTGGCCAAGTTGGGAAAATTAACCCGCGATATAATTTGTGTTCGTAATGCGTAAGCGGAGTCTTAATCTTAATCCTAATAAGTAAGCGGAGTCTTAGAAATCATTCGACATTTTGAATTGAGGCATGCTATTTGGACTATTTAATACTTTGCTATAGCGTGTGGGTGGTTGATTTTCAAATAAATCTCAAAATTTTTCATTTTTTTATAAGTTTTGTCAATTTTATAGCAAATACTACTCCATAGATCTTAAAAGGCAGCCGGAACATTCAAGTCTTCGCCTTCATACGAACAGTTTTGTTATATCAAATTTTTTTATTAAAGAACCACGGAGCTCTCTGAGTCGCCTCCCAACATCCAGAACCGGACTATCTACCAGAATGAGACCCTGGACTTCGTTACTTTCGGTGGCCTGGTGCCTGGACAGGCTTACAACGTAGAGTTGAGATGCTTCTGGCAGCCAACTGACACTCAATACACAATCTACAGTTTAGTGTCGCCATACCAGAATACCACTGACTATGTGACCTTGACAAATAATGGACAGGCTGCTGAGTTCGACCCCGTCTATGGATGCACAGGTAGAAGAAATGAGCCCAGTCATTCAAAAAGGGCTATATTGAAAGAATTTGGCGAGGTTCTTTAAAAGACGATTTTGCTCCCATTAATGTGCCTCAGTCGCCATTAATTGTTCATGATTGTTTCAAATTAATTGTAACTCAATAATTCGATGCGATTATTTGTCAAAGTTGAGAAGAATGATTGATTGAACTGGTTTCTCGCAAAATCACAGCTTTTTAGATGCTAGAAAAAAAACTTTAGTGTTCATTGGAACCAATTGCACTCAGCCTATTTTTCTTGACTCTTTCAATTTATACCCAGGCAACTTTTCTTCGCTCAATGATCCTTTTTAGACCCTGGATACCTGGAGAACTTTGAATATTTTGGAGTGGACAACCAGACCGTGGGCGTGTCCTTCTTGGCCCCCCTGGGCGTCAGCAGACAATACTACTTCCAAATCAGCCCTCAATTTTCCAGCGGGTAATGACACTTCAAACTAAGTACCAACTGGCTTTTAGCGGTTTATTTCACTAGTTTATCATTGGCCCACAGATGTGAAATTTAGATAAAAAATAATCAAAGATTCAAACGATCTGAAATAAATATTCATTGGACGCATGGAAATTAAAACTTTTCCAATTCATGATGAAAATTCGTATTTTTGAGCTCAATGATTTTACTGAACATTCGATTAACTATTTTTTTTATACTTTAATCATAGTTATTGAAACCACCGTTAATCATTGAAGACAAAAAATAATATTATGATCAACACAAAAATAAAATAATGATCAACATTAAAAGACAAACTATCAATGAAAATAACACCAAAAAAATGGCGATGCAGCCATTTGAGCTCAGGAGCTCAACAATTTTTGGTTCATTTTTCAGATACGAGCGTAATTTGACCTCAAACCACTCAATGTACGCCGTGCAAGGGGAGGAGTTCGAGGCCACCTACGACGGTTTTGGCGCCTGTGAGAGAATCGACATCAATGTCTCGAGTGAGAGTGGCTGTGGGGCTATTCTGTCCCGCCAGTACACCCACGTCTCGGTCTTCACCTATACAAGTAAGAACAGACGGATATTTTTTAATGTTCTCATAGTGCACAAGGGGGGGGGGGGGGGTGTTTGTTACCACTACAAAACTCGCATGGATCTTTGATTTAGTTGTTTATACGGCTGGATATTCGTTACTAGTTAACATAACTTTTCATATTGCTGAGAATTAAACAAAGTTCAAACCTGTACTTTTTGTAAGTTCTTATATATAAGTCCAAAATAATTAGAACTTAAAGTTAAATAGCGCGTTTTCTTAGAAAAAAAAACAGTTTGTTCATAACTGCCTCTCTGTTTGCAGCGCCCAATACCCCATTTTGGGTTCCGGAGACCAGTACTTCCGATTCTAACTCGGCTATTACTCTCACTTGGAATGACACGAATGTTCCGACATGCCCCACCCGCTTCATGGTGTACCGGGACGGAGTGGCCTCTTCGGATCCCGACAACAATGGCACCTCCAAGTCCATGACGGACGACACCGGACTGACTGCCGGCACCACCTACGAGTACAGAGTGTCAGCCTCCGCGTACGGAGAGACCAGTCCCCCTTCCGACATCATGGTCATTTGTACTAGTAAGTACGGGGAGGGTAGAAAATATACCCAAGGATTCAGGAACAGACGAAGCATTTTTGCAAGGACAAAAAAGTTTGAAGTGAACCAAAATGAAACAAATTGGTTTTCCAGTTGCTTCAAAAAATTTTTTTAAATGTCAGAAATCGAGTGTAAAGTAACTTTGGAGATTAAGTGGGGGACTTTTTAAGTTGGGTAACCACTTATAAACAGTTGTTGCTCCTTTCAGAGCCTGACCCACCTGACTTTCTGGCGTATGTGAGTAGTGACCTTGGCTCTTCGTTCACTGTGGGATGGAGGGACCCGGTAGCGGGCGAAGTGGACGGCTTTCTACTCAGTGACAACCAGGGACACAGCAACATGCGAGTTATCGGAAATAGATTCAAGTCAGTTTCGCTTACATCTACTAACCAAAATATAGTTCCTAGTTTCAATGGACTTTAACGGGCAACAGCCGAAGGTGTAAAACTAGGAGCAGATCTAGCATTTTGTTCGAAAACTTTTTCAACAAGTTTTTTTTGGTCACCAAATACCTCTTCTGAAAGAAACCAATTTGGACAAAAAAAATCTGCGCAGCAAAAAAAATTGCCAAAAATGTCATAAGAGCGCTTTTTCGGAAAATTAAGATCGGAAGTTTTTTGGTGCGCTTGAAGTTTTTTGACGCAAAAACATTAGTATTTTGTATTTTGTCTCAACGGTAATACTACCCCTCAATCGTTAGTATTATCATAATAAAAATTTGAATGCGCAATGAGTTTTTTGATGCAATTGGTAGCTGCTCAATTAAAACTCAATTTTTACCCACAAAAACATCTAAATATTTCGAGAACAGAATAAATTTTAAAATAATTCTCATAAACTACCGTGGTGGAAACATTTTGCGGAATTTGCGCTTTCAAAAATGGTTCAAATTTTTGTTCCCGCTTAAGTGAATTTTTATCTTTCAGGAACAAATTGTGATGGAATTTTTGATACCATCTGGAAGATATCGATGCCTTGAGCTCAGACTTAAACGGATATTTTACCTGTGATCATTTGTTTGAAGTTATGGGGTTCTGAGGATCGCACTTTTGCCCAATCTGGGATAATTCCTTCGCCCCAAAATTCAATTTTCTTTTAATGCGTAGCGTATGAAGTGGACTAATCCAGCTCAGAATTTTTTTTGAACTGGAGCTGACAAATTGATTGACGCAATGTTCATTTTTTCATGGTTGAGTTGACATGTGTACGCGCGGAACAATTTCAAAATTAACAAAATGCAGATTTTTTTAGTAAATTTTTGTCAAAAAATACAGATATTATTATTTTACGGGACAATTGTAGCATTTAGAGTATTAGCCTGATACCAGAAATTATTTTCAACTTTGAAAAACAAAAATAAGGAGATCGAAAAAATATCGGATAGAATTTTTGCAAAAATTTTGCTGTTAAATCTTTATAAAAACAAACAGCCTAAAACTGACTGCAGTCACTTTGAAACTGTTCGACAAAATCTGCATTCAAAAACCTGTGAAATGTCATTTGAAATTTCTATGGCAAAAAAAAGAACAAAAACGATGAGGTTTTCAGATGAAATTTTGTCAGAGGCAGCTCATACCTGCACATCTTAATGCGCAAAGCGAATCCGAAATAAGGATAACTTAAAAAGTTTATTTTCCATTTTTTACCGCCAAAGGACAAAAAACTTTTATTCACGTTTCGGTAGTTTTCTCTGCAACCGATTAAAATATAAATTGAAAGTTTTTAAGCTTCTGTTTGAAATGATTAGCTTTGTTCGAACAGCAAAAACTTCACACCGGTTTTTTTCGATACAGTTTTTTCTTTGGAAATCACGACTCAATTTTATTTACTCTTAGACACATTCGGCACCTCTGATTTACAATTTTTTACCTGATACTGCGGAAAAATCAGTTCCAGCAAAAACGGGTACATTTTTCTACCTTCGAAAGTCGAGAAAGTCCAGAGATATCTGAGTTGAATCGAGCAAAGTCGAGCACATTCTTCCTTTGACTGAGAAACTGGATACCAACCGATATTTCTTCGGCCACGTTAAGATATACCAAACTTTAGTCGTTATGTTTGAGAAATAACAAATTTTGCTCACGAAAAATGAAAAATAGGTCGAATTGCTGTGAAAATTTTGTGAAGATTTGGCACAATACACTACAGTTGCGTTCAGAAAATCAATAACCCTACAACAAAAATAAACACAAAGTCTAAAAAACTTTCTAAGTTGCGAGCAGAATTTTTTTTTGTAGTTTTTGAAAATTTTTAGTGCCAAATAACTGCCTTCAAGTCACCTACTTGCTTGCTTTACTTGCTCGAAATTATTCAATAAAGCAAAAACTGTGAACAAGTTTTTCAGACAAATTTTCAGAGTATTTTAGCGTCGTTAGATTCACGACTAAGATTTTTTTTTAATTTGATATACATTGATAATGATTAATTATACCCATTGTAAAGATTAATTGTGGTACTTGATTTTACGTGAAAAAAGTATCTAAAAACCCATAAAAACATGTGATGCCAAACTTCCTCCCCACTTTCAATGGTCGAATCAAACATTTAGTGTAGTTCGCATTAATCACGTATTGTAGGTACAACGACAAACCGCCAGGTGCGGAGTTTACAGTGTCTGTCAATATGCAGTCCTACTTGGAGTGTGACGTCACGGGGGTGGAGCCAATCAGAGAGCTAGTCAGTGACTCATCATACATCTCCAGTCTCACTGTTGTAGTCACGGGTGAGTCACAGTCAATTAAAGGAAATAATCGACAGAGAGAATTTTTTTCCCACTGTAGGCATGTGGTGGCCAAATGGTTAAGAGTTCAGACTCTCTGACGAGAGATGGGAGGTTTGAATCCTACCACAACCACGAGCCTGTTTTTTTTTCACCCTGCGGCGCTGAAAGTTTGAGTAAAACTGGGCCGTTATATAGCTATGCCTCCTAAAAATGTCAACAAAGTTTTCGAAAATGCTTCCTCGAATAAATCATATATTCGCTTACTTATCTTCAACCCATTTCGATTCAAAAGCAAAAGAGCGTTTTATAAATGTTAATAGCGTTTTGAAATGTTTTCACTTTTGATCAGACATGTCAAAATTCCAGCCATTTTACTTATGTTACTTATACTCAAGGGGTAAACGAGCAGGACCAAGTTTGTTGATTTCAAGTAAATGGAAATATTACAAAAGATGCAAGCACTCGATTTCTATGATCATTGCATAACTTTGTTGCATACAACTTTTTTGTGTTGCAGCTCCTATGAGGCCCATATTGTTGAAACACTCCTCGACTGCGGAGACGACCTTCGTGATGCAGTTAGACGTGCCGAGAGGCCTCGTGTCCCGAATCCGAATCAGGTAGAGGTAGCCCAGCAGCTGAATCCGAACGAATACTGCAAATAAATTTATTTGGGTCTTCTTTTAAGGTTGATACGGCTTTCGGCCCAGCCCAAAAAAACATATGTTCTGGTCAATTTGTTTGAACTGTGCCAAAAAGTTCTGATCACAGTTGTGTAAAAAATTCAATTTGAGTCGCCTTTTTGTGCGGCGTTTGATAAAAGTTTTACATGAAAGCATTTACTTTTGCAAAAATTAATAGCAAAAAGCAAAATTGAATTTTTCTCTTCATATTTTTTCAGATTCGTTTTTTTAGAGTTTCTGCATTTCTTTTTACTTGGAAAGTGCTAAGCTAAGCTTCACAAACTACTTATTCACAGCTGAAATTTATCAATCATATGTTTTATACAGTGGCATGCGCAGAAATTTTTTCTAGGAGGCGGTTTTTCGAAACAAAAAATTGAAAAGTTTGTTGACCTTTTTTTAGGTCGACCAATTTGATTATCCGAGCTCTCGGAAAGTACTATAATGACCCTATGTCAAAATCTTCTGTGCCGACGGCAAATCTTTGAAAAAAAAAACAAGCTAAAAATGACGTTGTTTCAGCCTTTTTAAAAATATTTGACAAAAATGCGTTTTTCGGCGCTACTTCGGCACGCTAATTGTTTTATAGTTTTTTAAAGGCTTTTCGATTTACTCAATCGTTTTAATCGCTCCAAGTTAGAATAAAAAGCAAATAGACCTTTGAGCCTTGAGTCGATCGAGGTGTCGAGAAAAATTTGATTGAAAAAACTCTAATCTGTCCGTCTTTTTAAAGTCTCGTTGAGTTAATTGTTTTTTTTTCTATTTGCCTGTTGAGATAAATAAGACGACAAGACATTAAGACGACTAATGAATGTTAAAAGTTGTAAATTGAATTGATCGAATCTAAGGAAATCATTGTTCTCGGAAATGCAATTGGAGAATTTGTGTGTAGCGTCGTCCTAAAAGCGGTTGTCGTTTTAACAGCTGTCCATCTTATTTGCCGGACACCGTCTGCTGACCTTGATTTTTTAGATCGAATCTGGCTCTTCCAACTGACCCGTTGAGTGAGGAGGGTCTGCTGACGTCACTGAGTGACGCAACCAATAATGACTACATGTTCTACCCCCACGACCAGTCAGTGGACGGACCCACCTTCCTCGTCACATTCAACGACCTCCCGGATGATGGGACCAAGTACAAGTTCGAGGTACACAAATTTATCCTAACAACTAATGCAATATAATCTCCTGCTATCATTGAATTCTTTTTTAAAATTGTTTTTATATTTTTTTCATTGTTTTGATTTCTTATCTTGTTCTAGTTTTTTTTTTAATTTATGGCTAGCTTGAGCAAATTTCCTTCAAAACAAAAACAAACTGCCATTTCATTTGCGTGTGGATGCATAAAATGGAATAGTCAAATATGGATATCTCAAAGTAGTACAAAGGGGGTTGGCAGGGGTCGAATCTCTGAGAATTTGTGCGCCTATCACTCTGAATCACATGTGCGCAATTTTAAAACTAATTAAGATTTTTTTCTCAGGTGTTCGGTTTGTTTGACGGAAGTATCGATGCAGATGAAGCTTCGAAGCCCGCTGGCATTTCCTACAAATACAAAAAACGTAAGATACATCAAACCTTCATAACTAAGTTGGTGGTAATCGATTATATTAGTTCTGTTTATAAACATTCTGGTTAGCAGTAAACACTGATTCTGTACCTCTTGTGCCCAATTTAAGCGCAGCTGAGTAAGTGGTTGCTATGATTTTAGGTTATTAAGACGACAGGCGGACTTTAAGACAACATGACATTAAGACGACAAATGAGCGTTAAAACATTTGAAATGAACTGGTTTGAGTTTGAGCTGTTTCTATTTGAAACACAATTGAAGAATCGCGTATAGCGTCGTCTTTAAGTCCCATAAAACCTGTGGTCGTTTTAAGAGCTGTCGTCTTATTTGCCGGACATCTCTCGCTACATGCGAACTCGTGAATATTTATTACTTTGTAAAATTTCTGCTTTAATAGTAATTGTCTAAAAAGTCTAAGGCTGCAATATATCCGTCGTTTAGCCTTAATATCTCAGTTTGAAACTGTTTGAAATTTAACTGTTTTAAAAAATTGCGGCTTCTTTGTTACTACCCAAGCCCATCAATGCTTGATATCTTTGAAAAAGTTAAAATAATCTTGGCTTGATCTTGAAAAAATTGCAGCTGTCTTGGCAAGTTTTTGCCATAGAATTTCGGAAGATATCAAAGATTCTTGATTCTTCAAAATATACACAGATTTTTAAAACGATTTCCGAAGATTTGCTAACAAGAGGGGCTATTTTACTTTCAAGCTTTTTGGCTTTAAAACAAAATAGTAAAAATTTTTTAAATTAAGCTTATTGTGATAATAAAACTGAGTCAACAATCATTGAATTTGTGCGCATAACTAATAATGAGCAGACCAAAAACTCATTTTCTGTCAAAGTAGAAAAAAAAATTTCTGATGACTATCAATTGTCATAGTATCTAAATTTAGTTCATGTTTCAATTCGAGTTGTGTTATCTATTTTAATCATCTGTCTGGCGCTAACCGGTATTTAACCTTCGGAGTGTCTGTCACCTTCGGATGACAGCTATGCTATTGTCTCCGACTAACTTTCTGAAATACGGTTGCTTAACAAACGGAATTTAATTAACACTTCGAAACCGTCTTTTCACATGGCGCAGCCAACAGGCCAAAGTGGGGGGAAAAACCCACTGGGAATTACATCGTTTTGGCCCTCGACGTTTGCAGAACCACCAATGCTATGCGAGTTTTGGTTCAATCGATTTCAATGGGGGATGGTGGCAAAACACAGTTTAAATCCTAGGAATTTCTATTATGCCAGTACGTTAACTGCAGCGCAGATTACAGATTTACCAGAGGAGGTAGACGGGAAGAATCGCCTAGCTTCGGAACAAGTGCTTATCTCCAACTTGTACTTGTGCCTGGGGGAGAAAGGACAGGATGAGCTGCATAAGAGAAAACCACATCTGGACTTATCTGCAACAAGGTATTCTCGAGTTATAGATACCATTGAATCCGAATTTAGAAAGGAACGAAACGAAACGTACGAGACATTCCAACTCTTGGCACGGAAGCAACAAATAGGAGAATCGCTAGAACAGTTCCACTCAGTGTTGAGCGGGTTGGCCGCTAGATGTAATTTTGGAGCATTGGAGACCAGGATTTTGCGGGATGTGTTCATCGTCAACATGAACAATAGGGAGGCCCAAAACGAGTTATGCCGCTCGACGAAGACGCCAGAGGAGGTGTACCGTATTGCACTGTCATACGAACGCGGATATAAATATGCAAAGTCATACGGATCGATAACCGGGGGAGGAACCAGTGGAACTACCGGTGGAGCTGGAGCATTCCAAATCAAGACGGAACCAGTGGGGGCCATTCGAGGAGGTTACAGAAACAACAGATCGCGGGGCCGTGGATCATTCAGGGGGCGAGCAGGAATGAGAGGGGGTGGTCTCAGAAGATGCTATAACTGTGACCAACCAAATTTTACTCCGGAACATCTCACAACGTGTCCAGCGAAAAATGCAACGTGCAATTTCTGCAGAAAGACGGGACACTACGAGAGGACTTGTAGGGGGAAGCGAAATAATCAGGGAAGACCGGCAGTGGGACTGATCCAAAATCAGGAAGAGATGGAAACTACCGAGATAGGTGAAGCGGAGGATACATATTCTCAGCATGAGAATTCCGTCGGTTGGGTCAATACACCGGCCAAGAAGCAGCGATCGTGGGACTCGGATAGCTCAGGAGATTATGTCGTCATGGCAATCAGATCTCGGACGGAAACCGAGCTCAAAGTGGCCGGTGCACGACTGCCAATTAAAGTAAATGGAAAACAAACGAACGTTTGGATAGACAGTGGATCACCGATTTCGATATTCACTATTGGAGAATTAAAACGAACGTTGGGTACCGCAGGCGTCAAGGTGAAGGCACCAGCACCGGAGGACGAGGAGTTCAGGGATTACGGAAACAACCCCCTACGACTACTAGGAACGATGGATGTACTGCTGGAAACGAACGGATGGGTGACCAACGCAAACATCAGAGTGATTGGAGGAAGCAGACCATCAATTATTGGAAGAGACCTAATGCCAAATCTTGGATTACAGATTGTGCAGAAGGCACCGGAGGGAAATGTGATGTCGGTAAAGAGCGACCAAGCCACAGCTGAAGCGACGGACGTGGAGGACTCACTAGACAACTGGCAGATCTATTTCAGTAAGCAGTTTGAAAATCTTTTTAACAGAGTCGGGAAAATTAAGAATTATAAGGTACACGCGGATTTTTTTGCAAAGTTAACACCAATTCAACAGAAAGGACGTAGGGTGCCAATCACATTGCAAGAAAAGGTTGATAAGGAAATTGATAAACTTTTGCGACAAGGACACATCGAAAAACTGACTGAATGCTCGGATAAATATTTTGTTTCTCCGATTGTAATAACGGTGAAAAAGGACGGATCGGTAAAATTAGCGCTAGAATCACGGGAGTTGAACAAGCAAGTCCACAAAAACAAATACCAAATGCCAAATATTGAGGAACTTATGGATACGGTAGGACAAACGATAAGCGAACGGAAACCGGGGGATGTATACTTTTCTACTATGGATCTTACGTACGCGTACGGTCAATTACCACTTAGTCCGGAAACGAGCGTTCAATGCAATTTTTCGCTAGTGGGAGGAAAATCAACGGGTACGTATCGATTTCGTACGGGGTTCTACGGTCTAACTACCATGCCGGCGGAATTTCAACGAGTAATGGATACGATTCTTTCGGAATTTCCGCAGGCACATGCATTTATTGATGACATATTGGTGGTCACCAAAGGCACGGAGATCGAGCATATCTCAACAGTCGAGAAAATTTTGCGGAAGCTGGATCGCGAGAATATGTCACTTAAACTCACAAAATGCCAATTTGCGCGGGGGGAATGTGAGTGGTTGGGGCACAAAATAACCCGTACGGGGATAACACCGCTTGTCCGAAAAACGGAACCGATCGAATCGCTGAAAGCGCCAAAAACGGTGTCACAACTTAAATCATTCATGGGCTCCATTCACAGCTTGCACAAATATCTTCCGGCGCTCGCGGAATCATCAGCGTCACTACGCCCATTATTAAGCCGAAAAAACGATTACATCTGGAGCGAGGAATGTCAAATATCATTCGAGAGTCTGAAAAAGCAAGTGGCCAATATAGTAGAACTTCGGCATTTTGATATACACCGGGACACAAGAATTGTATGTGACGCTAGTCATAATGGGCTCGGAGCGGTTCTTGAGCAACTAAATGCCGACGGTTGGCGGCCGATATCATTCGCATCCCGGTATCTAAACGCAGCGGAGAAGAATTACTCAACGAATGAATTGGAAATGTTAGCAGTTGTGTGGGGGGCCGAATATTTCCGAAATTATGTACTGGGAAGGAAATTTTTAATAGTTACGGATCACAAGGCACTAGTGTCATTGCTAAATGGGAACAATAAAAAGAACAAAACAATGTTCAGCAGATTAACAAGATGGTTAGATCGCCTTATACCGTTCGATTTTCAAGTGGAACATAAACCCGGAGCAAAAATAGGACTCGCGGATTATCTCTCAAGGCACCCGAGCTTAGATCCTCAACCAATTAGCACCTACGATAGTATGTTTACGGTGGCGAAAATTAGTAGAATTAGATCCGCCCTCGGATTTAGAAATAGAACTTTCTCCAAAAATAGACTCGAGTCTCCATCGGTTACTAAAAATAAACGCGTTTGTAATATATCGAATAGAAAACGACCGGTAGAGGGCGAGCGATCATGCGACGGAAAATGGACCAATCACAAAGCAACAAATTGCATTTCCGGCAGGTCAATTGAGTTTAGCGAAAATTCAGTTGGGACTATTATTGAAGCTAACGTTGGTTACTCTAAATCTTTAAATTCATTAATAAACAATAACAATTCAAGCAATTTAATCATGGAAAGGAAGATCAAGAAATTATTGGAACGACACCCTAGCATTAGCAGTAGTGATGAAATTGAGGAGATTGACGTAGATATACAGGCGATAACAACAGAAGTCCGGAGCACTAAAACAAACACCATCATTTCTATTCCGTCGGTTTACCCTGGTGAAAGTTATCCGCCGGTTAATCCGGAAAACAAAGTTATGTCTATTATTCCAAGAAATTGTAAAATAGTCAGTAAACATTCCGCTCTTCCCGAATTATTTAATCTTCGATTTATAGAATCGCAATATCAATCTGATCCACAGTTACAAGCCATTATCGAGTTAATTAAATGTAAAGACCCTCAGTTACACTCGAAGATTGAAGCAATGAGTAAGTACTTTGCACAGTATACTCAGGATTTCCACGTAAGAGACGGATGCCTGTGGATGGACGAAAGGCTAGTGATTCCGAATACATTGCAGACGGCGGTGGTAAACAGACTTCATTTCTATCACCACGGAAAATCCAGTATGATCGACGCGGCTAAGGACATCTGGTACCCATACATGTTTCGTAGTTTAGCAACTATTGCTGGGAATTGTCCGGAATGCACATTAGCGGGTAAGAACTTGAAAAACATGTGTTCGAAGGATGACATAGGGAAAATACCTGAACCAAAAGAACCGAATGAATCAATCCAATTAGATTTTTGGGGACCCATTAACTATTTGAAGGAATCTAAGAAGTATGTTTTGGTGGCGGTGGACCGGTTTTCTCGATGGCCATCAGCTATGGTCTGTAATTCGAACCGCTCGGATAAAATTATCAAATTTTTAACAATGTACATAACTGCCCATGGAGTTCCGCGCCAAATTAGAGTTGACCAGGGAACAAACTTTATGTCTAAGGAGGTTAAAACGTTCTGCAATGAGCAAGGAATTGAAATCCTCACTTCGCCAGTTAATGACCATAGGGCAACAGGATGTGTCGAGCGCACGATTGGTAGCATCAAAAATTCAGTGCTGACGTATGCACAAGAAGACAAGCCGGAACCCTTGGATCGAATGGTGGAAAGAGCCCTCGGAGCCCTAAGATTTGTGAAAAATGCATCCCTTAAAATAACACCGTTCGAAGCGCACCACGGCCGGGAAGCCAATACGGTTCTCAGAAACTTGACTAAAAAACCTACGTTACGAAATCTAAATTGGGAAAATGTAATACGATCGAAATATGAATGTTTAGATGAACGAGACCCGATTGCTCAAACGATGCCGAAGCCGATGGACACTAATTGGGGAACCCGATCGGACACTGAATACGACCGGAAAAACAGACGGGGACCGCTAAGATTAAACGATGAACAAGCAGCTAATCAGGACAATGAGCCCGGAATAACACGGTCATCAAACGACCCTGTGGAGATACCACCGGCAGTGGTCATGCAGAGGACCGGGGAGCGTAATATGAATAGGTATAGACTATTAAAATCCAAAATAGTTAATCAAACTGAACACACTATTAAAATGAGTAATGGTGCGGTGCTTAGGAAATCAGGAGTAGCGCTCAGGAAAGCGAAAATTCCGAAAAAGCGGATGCCGGGAGGAGAGCTACCTGCACCACCAACGCCGTGGGATCTGAAACGTAAGCTACAACAGAGTGGAAGTCAGCCAGGAACCTCAAAAGGCACCAAGGGAAGTCATCACACCATCACGGGAAAGGGATCGAAATTCCAAATTTTGGAATCAGCAGAAAATTCAGACTCCGAATCGGACGACTATTTACCGTTGAGCACATCCAAACGAGGGGCGAAACAAACAAGCGGTCAAGACAACAATGGGGAAGATGGACAAGGAACATCTAGTGGGGGACCAGTGCAACTAGAAGTCATCGGAGTTCGTACCAGCAATAAGGAGACGGAAAAGGAAGATACGTTAACAGGCGGCGAAACAGGAATCGGGAATGACCAGGGAAGAACGAATACCGAAGGACCCGAACCACAAGAAACGGAGCGCGAACCAGAGCAGATCACAGTAACCGGGGGAAAGAAACGGGGCCGGAAACAACGACTTGTTTCCTATTCAAGCCAGGACTCGGCTAGCTCACTTGACGACACAAGCTCAAGACGGTCGGGCAGAAAACGGACAGCAGTGACCAAGATGGGGGGGGGGTCATGATTGACAACATTAGAAAAACGGACAAAGCCGGAACAGTCGAAGGAAAGGAATGAAGAAAAGAAAAAGGAAAAATTGAGTTCGAACAGTCTATAAAACTTTGCTAAGAAATGGGGAAGTCCAGGGAGAGGGCATGCTGCATAACAGCTAAAACTCAAGAATTTGTGTTCTAACAAAACTGTAGTTGATTTGAAAAACTTTGTTATTAACCCTTTTGTTTACTGCTAACATAGATACGTTGGATATTGGAATTGAGTATTATTTATTACAAGGAGGGAAATGTCATAGTATCTAAATTTAGTTCATGTTTCAATTCGAGTTGTGTTATCTATTTTAATCATCTGTCTGGCGCTAACCGGTATTTAACCTTCGGAGTGTCTGTCACCTTCGGATGACAGCTATGCTATTGTCTCCGACTAACTTTCTGAAATACGGTTGCTTAACAAACGGAATTTAATTAACACTTCGAAACCGTCTTTTCACACAATCTTAAAGCAATTTTAGGCAAACAAAAAAAGCACGTTGTTTCATCGAATTAAGCTTAGGTTATTAAAGAAGTTAACTAACTATTATCAGTTTTTGTTTTAAAAGTTTTTAAATTTAAAATTTTACGATTCCAGATTTTTTTTTAAAAAACTATTAAATTTGCACTTTCTCAACTGCTCAACCGCTCAAGTAGTAACTTGGATGGATATTCAGTGGTAAGATGGATATTCAGGGGAGTGGTGTCCAGGATTTTTGCGAGGTGGGCGGATTTTTGAAAAATTTTGATTATTTTGCCCTTGTTTTTCAGATCGACCAAATTGGTTTTGATTTTTTGAGTTGTTCCAGAACCTTTTAAAGACATTATTTTGGGTGCAATTAAAAAAAAACTGGTCGAACAAAAGCGTTTTTTAGGTATTTTTTGAAATATTTTGATGAAATATTTTTTGGCGCGGCGCGCTCCCTTTTCAAAAATAGTATATTTGCTCCAAAGGCACCTTTTAAAGACATTATTTTGGGTGCAATTAAAAAAAAACTGGTCGAACAAAAGCGTTTTTTAGGTATTTTTTGAAATATTTTGATGAAATATTTTTTGGCGCGGCGCGCTCCCTTTTCAAAAATAGTATATTTGCTCCAAAGGCACCTTTAGAAGATTTTTAGTGGGCTCAAAATGGATGTGATAAATAAATACCAAGGGGTTGGTGATGGGATCGAAACCTTGAGTGAAAAGCGCCCCCCCCCCCATATCCGCCCCTATGGAAATTCATTACCGACTAGGTACCATAAGAGTATATAGTTCATGAGATCTTTTTTTCTTACCGTTCTTAGAAGACTTGGCAGAAAATGTTATGATCAGTTAGATCAGCTTGAAAAAAGTTACAATTAATTTTTTTTTCAAATGTTTGGAATCAGAAATTTCTAATCAAATTTAGTTATATCACAGTTCTTCAGATATTTTGTCCTTATATGAAATGAAAAATATGCGAAATTGCTAAAAACTTAGTCGACTGAAAAGAAATAAAGTATCAAAAATGAGTTAACTTTTTTTTCCTAGCCAATAGACTGCTGGGTCTTCCAGTGCACGAGGGGGCCATACTGCTGGCGGCCATCATCATTCTCGCCCTCATTCTGCTGGCGGCACTGGTGGTCGGAGCAATCGTGCTAATCGCCAAAATTATCAGCATAAAGTCGACCGCATCCCAGGCAAACAACGCGTTAGTTCCTCATAATTTAATACTAGAAAGACTGATCGTATCTTGGCGAACACCTGAATGTTCCGACTGCCCTTTTCCTTGTCGGAAATGGTTTTTGGTTTACCAATCGATAAAGTTTTTAAAAGACAAAATGAAAAGTCAGTAGCCATTGTAGCATTCTAGTCGAAAAATTTCAAGATGAAATCTAAATCGAATTCAATGAATGCTTTGTAAGGATCAAGGCGGTAAGTTTTTTGGCAAAAGTAGGCAGGCGCGGATCTAGGAATTTCTCGAGGGGGCAGATTTTCAAAAAAAAAAGAAATTTTTGTCGACTTTTTTAGGTCGACCAAATTGATTTTCTGAGCTCTCCCAAATCACTATAAAGACCCTAACTTGACAACTATTTCTAAGATCAGTCAGCCAAAAATGGATATCTCAAATGGTACAAAGCGAGGACCCTTTGGGTCGACAGGGGGTCAAACCCCTGAGGGGGGAGCGTCCGCCCATCCCCCCTAAAGACGCTACTGAAAGTAGGCATGATGACTATAATTAATATTCTTTTACTTTCACTACTTTGAATATCACGAGTTGGTGCTTGGAATAGAGTTTTTTATTTTAATTTCAGTGCGGCGGAAAATGAGCCCCCGAAAGAGGTAGACTTCGGTATCAACCGAACTTACGACCTCAGGACGGAATATCTGGCTGCCAGAATCCAGGTTCTCAATGCCCAGCCAGCACCTTAACTTGACCCCAGAATCAACATCAATCAACGCTCCATCCCCCCAACACTCTTCCATTCGACTACACCAGGATTGAATTGGACAAAGTCAATCAAAAAGTATGAACAATTAATTTAGCATTTGATTACAAATGAAATATAAAAATATCATGATTGAATTTTATTATACCTAACTATCAAGTTTTGAACGTTCCTAAATTGAACTTGAATAGAAATACATGGTTCAAACTATTGAAGAAATTTATTTATCAACGTTCACAACTTGATCCAAAAATCAATAAATAATCGCTGGTGGAAAATTCTTGTTATCAGGGCAGCTTCCAGAATAAAAAAAACACTGAAATCTGATTTGCATGCGATTTTCTTGCCTTTTGAAGCCTATGTAAGATGAATCTGTAAAATATTGTACATAATAGAAAATGAAAAAGATCTGATTTAGAAAATAGATTATTGATGCTTTCGTTTTTGAACGGCAAAAAAGTTTTTGAAACATTTTTTCTCGGGTGGTTTTTCCAAACATATTTCGACATTTTACCCAGAAAAGTCTTTAAGGTTAGACAGTATTAAGAAGTTTGTAAGTGACAAAAGCTGTATCAACTAATCAGAATCAAGATAAGAAACACTAAATATTGGACAAACGTAAAACCGTAAAAATAGGCAGATTATCAGCAGGCAAAAAAAATCCCTCCTTATGCCGCGGTCAAAGTTCAGTCCGTGACATTAGAGCACCTGGTCACGTTTTACCCAGCAATCTGTGTTCGCTTCCAGCCCGTGCAAGTCGGGGTAGGGGCTGCTTTCTTGAATTAATTGTTTGGCTAGTCGGTGCAAAATAAATCAACTTGTAACTTACACTAAGTGTGAAGAAAATATTTTTACAAAGAAAAAGAAAAAATGATGCCCCAATGAAGATACAAACCACTTGAGTTCACTCTCAAAAAATCCAACCTGTATACAGTGCTGATCTAAATTTACCGGACGAAACAAATAAAATTTGAAATTTCAAACGCGTTTTTCTCAAATTGGGTTGAAATTAGACAAAAATGAAGAGAACAAAAATTGCTTAGATTTTCACCATAAATAATATGGTGCAATTTTTTCTATAAATTTCTCAGCCAAAATTTTACCCCAAAAATAAGTCATTTTGGCTTTTTTCCATTAATCAACAATTACGCTGAAACTGCTTTGTTAATTGATGATAAATATATGTCACAAGAAGCTTCTTACACAGCCCAACAAAATTCCAGAAAAATTGAATCTCCAAAAATTTTGGGTTTTATATAGTAAAAATCACATTTCTTAACTATCACGCAAAAATAATTTCTCTTATTCAGGTTTTTGGAGATTTAACTCGTCTAACTTTGTTGGGCTGTGTAAGAGGCTTCTTGTGATATATATTTATCATCAATTAACAAAGTAGTCTCAGCGTAATTTTTGATTAATTGAAAAAATCCAAAATGACTCATTTTTAAGGTAAAATTTTGGTTGAGAAATTTGGAGAAAAAATTGCACAATATTAATTCTGGTGAAATTTTAGGCTTTGTTCTCTTCTAACCTCTTCTAACCCTCTTCTTTTTTAAGTTTTGTTCTCTTCATTTTTTGTCTAATCCTAACCCAATTTGAGAAAAATGCGTTTGAAAGTTCAAGTTTGTATATTTTGTCCGGTTAATTTAAATCAGCACTGTATTCTCAGTAAAATCCAGCACTGTGCACTTTATTGGCAATAAATGTTTTATACTGACATCGTTAGCCTAAATTGATCCAGCGCGAAGAATTATCTCGCAATCAAAATCATTCGAATTTGACGCGAGACAAGCTAAGTTGCAATGTTCATTGTCTATACGACTCAAACTACCATACTTAATATTTGATACCGATATTCATTGTATATTCATTATTTTCATCTATAATTTTTTTTCCACAAAAAACTTAAGAAAACAAGGTTTTTGCATGCATAAGATCAAAAATTTGTTTGCATCAGAAGCTCAACCATTTAGCTAAAGTTTTTTCCTGGGCCTTATGATTAAGTGAGTTCTAGTCTCAATGGATTAATCTCACGGTTAGGCCTCACACTTTTTGACTATGAGAAAATGTTAGGAGAAAACTATTTCGCCAAGCCATAATAATAGAAATGTATGTTGTTTCAGAGTTTTTTTTGGAAAGCTAGTAGTAGTTTTGGATTTACGATCCCCTCTCCCTAAACCTACCACTGTAGATGTCGCATATTTTATATTTATTCGATATACGTTTAATGGAATTGCAATCTAATGAATTTGAAACAAAAATTCAGCTTAAAAATTAATTTCAATGGATTCCACATTGTTTTAGATCCATTTTTGGCAAATATTTTGGTTTCAAGTTCTAACGAATTTTAATAACATTAAAATTGATTTACATCACATTTAATCGATTTTTTGTAGGTATATTTTATACAGATTATATTCAGGTTAAAATCAAATAACACAAAAAAATAACGCATGCCTTTCAATCGATTTGTTGTGTTAACGTTTGGCCTGAAAAAAAATGTTATAAATTGAGTCTTTCAATGATATGCTCATTCGACTAACCTAAAACACTGATAACGATAATAACTTTTGACGAAATTTTGCAGGATATTACTTTTCATCATCGCTTGAGCCCGAGTTGCAAGCTTCAAAAAGGATTCCTTAAGCTCAAAAATCTGCGGTAAAATTTCTCCTAGAGTGACTCTTGCCCTCTGTAGCTCTGATGGAGAATTTTTTTGAGTGCGAAATGTTGCTCAAGCTTCGAAACGAGATCATTTTCTTGAACTTTTGATAAATTTCACTGCTTTCAATAAATCAATTTAAATGAATTACGTATGCAACAAAATCTAGCATAAATATCCGTTTAAAGCTATTTTAAATCAATTTAGGTAATTACAGGAGCTACCATAGAACTTCTTTCAGTAGATTATCTGAATAAACATCGATGCCAGCACTAGTAAGCAAAACCCTGGTTCTTCTATTGTTCTTATATAGTATTTCACTAGGTTGCTGTGAACCGGTATGCAGACGTAATTTTATTGAAGCTACAAAAGGAGGCGAAACTTTATAAAAATTTGAGAATTTTAGGAAAAATTGAGAGTCGACGCCTTAAAATGGAATTAATTTAATGCTTTAAATTACACTTTATTTTTCACCACAGAAAAAAATCACACTGTGAATATTCATTTTGCAGGGAAAATTCAATTGCCAAGCAGAAAAAGCGCTCTGCAAAAACGTGGTAAAACAAAATCTAAAAACGCCAAAATTTTTTTAAAATCTTACAAGAATAGCATGACGCCAAAAATGAAAAAAAAAGAGCGGGAAGAAATGAATGCGCTTTAAGTTAGCGAAAAAAATTTCATGCTATTTGAAAGCAGCAAATAGACTGCACGCTCCACACAGAAGTTCAACAGAGAAATAAATAAAAAAATAAATATAATAAATACAAATAAAAAAAAATAAATAGAGCAAATTTTGTGAGAAAAACCTGGTCACATTTCATAACAGAAATACTGACACGCTTTTGTGCCATTGAAACAGACTTCAAGAAAAACAGTTCCAATTTTTCCGACACAAAACTTTCGTGCAGAAGAATCATGATAAATCCAAATATCAGGAAAAAACTGTGATTATTATGAAACTGGAAATTTTAAGCCGCAAGATTTTTTGCATTAAAGTATTAAACAAGAAGTCGAACGTCAATTGATGCATTTCAAAGCAATAACAGTACCAGGAAAAAAACTACAAAAAACTTGCATGAAAACTTTTTGAACTAAGATCAGTACACTACGAAAAAACTGCAAAAAACTTGCATGAAAGCTTTTTGAACTAAGATAAGAACATTATTACAAATATACTAGAATTGATTCTATTGAATTTCATGCTGAAATATGAACCTATGCTAAAACAAGGCTGTTCGTATCAGGGCATTGCTGTAACCAAAGACGGATCTAGGATTTTATCAAGAGGGGGAGGGATTTTCAAAAAGTTGTTAAAAATTTTGATTTTTTTTAGATCGACCAAAGTTCTCCCAAAGCTATAAAAAGACTCTGTTTTGGCCAAATGTTTTCCGCCAACTTTTGAGCGCTTTCTGGAATTTTTTGTCGAAAAAATGCGTTTTTTGGCGAGCGCGTCATAACAAAATTAGTAAATTTTGACGCCAAAAGCGCCTTTAGAAAAACTTAGGGTCCGTCAACCAAAAATTGATACCTCAAAATAGTACAAAGAGGACCCTTTGGTTCTGCAGCGGGTCCAAACTCTGTGGTGGGCGTCCGTATTCTCCCTAAATCCGCTACTGGCTGCAATGTTCCGACTGCCCCCAAACTGGTAATTAGGTAAACTATCCATTTTGGACTATTTCTTTCTCAAACAATCAGTTTTTACCTCTGGGTTGAATACGAAACTAATTAGACATTTTTGTTTGCCTCAATTCAGAATGGAACGATTATGAGTGCGGGGTAAATCACCGCGCATAAAAAATTTACCTGCAGGAAAATTTAACTTCCACAGACGCTTTCTCCGAACACGTCCGGTTGGTAATCTTAATTGCAGGATCGATCGACATACGCCGGAAAATTTCAAGTAAAATTGGTCTGAATTGAAAATAAAACGACCTTCGATTATTAACAGACCTTACTTTCTTCGAAAATTGGGACAACAAACGCACGCTCGAAAATCCGGTTCTTGAAAGCTTTAACAATAAAGTTAATTTCGGATGTGAATAGCTGGGATCTACTTAATAATCACCCAACCCCTTTTTACGAAAGGGGGATATTGTTAAGTAAATTAATACAACGCATTTTCGACCAATCAGATTGCAGCAAATTTAGAAACCCCAATACAAAGCTCTAGCGCTAATTTACTGAGAATCTAACAATAGGGGTGGCAATTCTTAAGTAGGTACCAAAGGGAAGGCAATTGTTAATTAGATCCCTTTCGCCTTCTTAACAGCTTGAATAAAATAAAATAAGCTATAAATTGGAGTGTTACAGGGAATTATTAAAATCAATTAGCTTGCCTCAAATCTGTTTTGAAAGATTTTGATTTTTGGGTATAGGCATTCACCAATTTTACATGATATGCGCTCAAGTTTTAATTTAATTACCTTTCGCGCTTTTAAATTTTTAAAAGCTTGCCTGAATTGCACAAAGCATAACAAACAAACTATTTTCAAAAACTCAAAAGAAAACCGAAAACTACTGCAGATAAAGATTTTTTTTACTTGACTCAGGTAGTTGACCTGGGCTGTGTTGATTGAAAAAAACAACACTAATTCAACCGTAAATCCAAAAGTTACCCGCACTGACAAAAATGGATTTCGATCTATTTTAGTATGAAAAAGTATGCAGATTTAATTGAAATCGATTTAATTGGAAAAAAGTAAGTTAATCGAAAATAAAAACCCAGATCGATTTGGATCGATTTTAAATCGATTTAATTTCAACGCTAAAAAATTGAT